CATACTGTCTCTATTAGTTGATATTATACGAAATTCCACTTTATCTCGTTTTCAAGATAGTCTTAAATATGCACTGTAAAATAAATGTTTCTAAGTTTGTTAATTGGTATAATGGCACGAGGTACCAATGTCTTTTGTTTCCAGGTGCTTTTGACATGAAATTTAGTTTGTGTATCGTAAGAGGAGAAGAAGTACAGTACTTGACTCTCAGATCATACAAGCACTGGGTCTTTCGTGCTCTTCTTTCTTTTGACTGGAGTCCAACGCCATGATGGTTCGGTGGTCTGTCATCGGTGTAGTTCGGTTCCCACCCGGTGGATACACTTGTCTCAGCTGATTGGGTGAGCCTTGTAGTGTCTCAAAGGCAACATCTTGGAAGTTTGTCTGCAATTTTGCTGTTGCCTGCTGAAATGGTGTTTCCAGAGCCGAGCCGAGTAGAGGTAACTTCACCACCGACTGGTGACAACCTGTCATTGCGTTTGTCGGCTTTGTGGGTGGATGATTTTCTAGACTCCAGATTAAGAACACTTTTCACCGTGGATCCAACTTTTGTGATGCAAGCTTGGTTTTTGGAAGCATAAAATGGAGTCGACTACTGTATTTGGGTGGAATTTTTTCTCGTTTTTGTGAATGAGAAGGCAAATGGAGCTTTCTGGGTGATGCATTGACAAGCTCTTGGCTTATCAAAACAGCAGAATTACATATTTTGCATATTTTTTACCTAAGCAAGGCGTGTGATAAACAAGGAAATCATCCTCTTTATCAGATCCTAGATTTCATAAAAGTGCTACACGCAACGCTGATCTATGGAACATTCTCACTGTTTTCTCTGTGATCCGCCTCGGAAGCTGAGATAAGGATACCGCTGGATCCATCCTTGCGTTGTTGATGGCAAAAGTAGAAGGTTGCAGTAAAGACAATGTTGAGAAGGAATAAGGAGAGACCCACAACTATTGTGAGCAGAAAAATTCGCTTATAGCCCTCCTTTGCATCTCCAGGTGTTGAGGACGGCACCTTCAAGAGTAATAGAAGAAATGTCATGGCACCGATTACTTCTCACTATCTCAATTTCTGTAAAAATGGTTTTGACAAGGTGTTAACCCTTGGCACAATGTAGAGAGGCGACCCCATTTGGTCATTTGTGTGTAGTAGGTAATTTATTTCTATGACCACGATTCCAATTTCAACGCCATTTGTCATTCATAAACGACGCACTTTTACATTCAGCTGTCTATTTTATTAAACATAAAAGAACGTCATCCGTACTAACAAAGAAATGTCGTTCACTGTCGACTGCATTTCGAGTAATGAGCAGGATTAAAAACCAGTAATGTAAATGAGAAAAAAATACGAACGCTAAAGTGGTAGTTAACATGTAAAGACGAATGGCTACTAGTAGTGACGGTTATGGTTGTTGTTGCTGTTGTTGTTGTTGTTGTTGTTGTTCATGACTTTGAAAGTATTCATGTGATTTTTTTAGCGTTTGTTAAACTGTTAGGTCAATGGGGCGCGATCGGCCTTTTCTCCTTGCAGGAATTTACCGAATTGCATAATTTAATCGAAGTGCAAAAGAAATTTGTACTTTACCTGACTTGTGTCGTAGAAAGATGGAAATTCTACTGTTTCATTGGAAACGGCAAAATGGTGCTCACTCATTGGCGCTTGCTCGATTGATTTGGAAGGTGCTGAAGTGTGTCCATTCTTTGTGGCCTCCTTGTACTGAACTTCAGGCACTGCAAAGTGGGTTACAGCTCTGCCCTTACATGGAGGCGTTCTCCTATTATTAGCAGCGATTTTAGGAAATACATTCATCCAAAAGGTCGTGTAGTGATTTCTATAAGCTGAAGTAACATCGAGTACATCGTTCGGTGGCGACGGCTCATTGAATCCGACAATTGGCTTACCTAAAACAGGGTTACTGACACCTGGTAATCATGATAATTTACTAGCTGGAATCGACTTAAATCACAGTTAAAATGAGGAATGTAAACGTGGACTAAATTAAAGAAGGGAATTTGAAGCGACATAAATCAGTGTTTGAGGCGTTAACTAATACGAGGGGAGGAAGGTATTGAATACAAAACCAGGTGAGATATCTTGAATGCATCATTTGTGTTGTATTTGTCTTCAGGTTCTTATGCGAATTTCAATAGGGCATCGTAAGTCAAATGTCTCTCGCATATTCGGTTCCAACAGTGCAAATTCTCTCAGTCGACATTTTTCCACTGATCTAAGGCAAATAATGTGACACGGTGATGCCAACTGGTTAAATGTCATACATTGTAAGGATGATAACTCTGCTTATAAAATAGAAAGAAAATGCTGCTCATACATAATTTTAGCGAGAGTTGGTTCCTTGAACTGAACGCTGGCCATGCCTTTGTTAGATTTTCAGCAATATTTGGGATCGCAATGTGTTTATTGGGGTCTCTGAAACAAAAATGTGCATAAAGTAACCTCATTAGTCTGAAGTGTTGAGTTTTAGTATTCACGAAATTGGTCATGAATGCGTCAAGTGAAGCATCATTCGTACTGTGATTACGAAATCGCTATGCATTGATAATCCATAAAGGGAGGTGCTCTCTAAGTGGTTGTTTTGAAAAAATTTCTGTCAAAGTAGTCCATGGTTTGAGAGAATTGTTTTGAAAGATGTGGGAACAAACTGCTCTCACTACCGGAAAGCAGTGCCTAGCTTTGCTCGAATACTCTTCCGTGATTGTGGGTCGCAGGTTAAAATGGAGCACAACCAAGACGTTCTATTCAAGTAAATACTGCTACTCACGAATCACCAGCTAACCTCATGCTGTTGATGGCTACTTTACCACAAATACCATTCTCGTGAGACTCCTCAGAAAAACTGTTTTACGAGCAACTAAACTCTACAGTTGCTTAACGCCTCGGAACGTTAGTTGGATTGCAATTTCTCGCTAGCCTGCTTGACCACGAGGCGCAGACAAATACTGCGTACATGGCGATGCCATTACCATCTCAATAAGAACTCGGACACAGAAGGAGGCGAATAAGGGCTACAAGTGAGGCTCCAAACTGGTGCATACTGTAACCAGGCCGCTCCTACTAACCACTTTTTCTTATTAATGAGTGGTAGTGGGTCGCTTCATAACATCAAAGTATTTAAGTTGGATTGTTACCCAAAATGGATGAAGTTTGTAATATATTGAATGAGGATTTGAGAAAGACGTCTTTTTATGTTGGTCTTGAGTTGGAAGACCGAAAGAAATGGTGAACCGAGAAGTAGATTAAGATCGTCACCATAGCCCGCCCGAGAAAAGTGAACAGCATATCGAGAGGATCCCGGTGAACCGAATTCCGAGTTCTGCTCCTGTCCGGTTTCATGCTGCCTAAGGGTTGCCAGGCCAGGCGTCCAGAACAAGGCGTCGGTGAAAATTTTGTAAATCTGAAATGAGCGGCACTACGCATTTTCCAATCACAAAATTTTGTTTAATCGAATGCATATGAACTGAGCATTTACGGAACACTCTTGAATGTAAATTGTGCATACTTTCACTCGTTCACTTTAGAGCACCTTTATAGTTTGTATTCAAATCACCTTGCATCAAGCATTGTTATGATAGTTGGGAAAACGCACCTTGGTTTTTTCCTCATTAATATCATCATTTTCGGTCCACGTGTCAGATTGCACGTAAATGTATTTCAGCAGGTCATTCAACGGATAAGCGGAGACTTGAAATATATGTTCTAGTAGGTAGCTCAATGCTGGCATGAATTTGTTCACACTGCTTTCAATTGCTGCATTGCGGTAAAAAAGGGATCCCGCGAATTCTGTCTGCCCGTACATGAGATCGACCCGATCGAAAAGTGTTGGTCTCTTGGTTACAACCTGCTGTTTTCGTGGCAAAGGAGCGAAACATCTCTCGAGACCTAGGCGGGACAGATTCCGCTGAATTTCGAGGATGGATGAAATGGGGAGGTCCTGAAGCAGATCGAAAACGGTGGCAGAGGAAGACTGTTGGATTTGAAACTTGGATTCAATAAGTGACTTGATGTCGGTGTCGCATACAGACGTAGCCCATGGTGCGTTGGCTGATCCGTCGAAAAGAACGAGTCTTTTTATTCCATAGTAATTTGGACCTTGTAAGTGAAAAGGTATATTTCCTGTTGGCCACACTATGAAAGATAGACCAAATAATGACGAACAACATTAATTTGCATATTTGTGTCAGAAGGCTAATAGTAAATAGTGGTGCCGAGGAAATCAGACTCGCATAACAGATAAAGATATTTTATTAAAATGCCATTCTAATAATTCGTGAAGATCCTTCGAGGCCCTACCTACCTCTTAGTCGAGGACTTTTATTTGTTATTTGTTAAGCTACATCCGCACAAATTTTAGTCTAACACACTTTAATCAGTTTACGTTAGTAGGACCCATCTTGAGATTTCCTCCCCCTCCCCTCCGGAGGTGGTGTGGATAAAGCGAGGATTGCAATTCGTAGTACTGATTCAAACAACCTTGACCGAAACAATTTGTTAGAGGAGGGCAACATGAATCAGTCCAAATGGGATGGTTTTGGAAGGACTCCAACGTCGGTTAGTCCGTTTGGCAACATGCAGCTATTGCAGGCGCATAACATTTACGCACACCCAATTTTAAGTGAAGTTGCAGTTTGGCTACAGAATGAAATACGCAGATCAATTGGCAGAAGTGAGGTGATCTGGTCTTGGTAAATCCACTTTCTCAATTCATTATTGAAATCATTAAATTGTGCAAAAGTATTCTTTGATTATTCACTTGAAAGTAGTTTGAAAATGAAGTTTAAGCATAGACTGCAGTGAGAACGTCTGTTTGGTTCAATGGAAAAAGACATCACACACCCGCACATTACTATTAACATTTTCTTCAGCGAATGCCACAAACTTTTCAAATCATTTATACGGACCTGCTCTTACATAATGGCAGAAATTTTCACAATATTTTAATGGCTCTGCGTATTTCAATCAAGACTTCGAGTCGACGTTTAATGCGACCGACAATCGAAATGACGCATTTAGTAGTTGACCAGACACAACTAATTATGGAAGGGGTTGTAACAATGAGCCTCGGCTTTGAAGAACGAAAAGCTAGTCACTTCTGGTATGCTTGCTCTTATAACTAGCAAACAGGACTTTTCGCGCTAAAAGCAAGGCTTGTGGATGGAGCGTCATTAAGTTACCAGTATTTCAAAAGATGATAGGGGCTATAATTTTTGCCTACGGGCGAATAGACATTATTCGCAAGGATATGAATGTGCTAGCAATGATGACATGCTTTGCACCCCTTTGGTGGAAGGAAATTCATTAATAACTTGCTTGAAAGTGCTCGAAAATTCAGTATTTGGGACTCAGTGATAAGTGGGAGTGCGGACTGTCACTCACTGTTAACTGGGGTCGAACATTTACCGTAACTAAGCCATTGAAAGCAAAACAACAATTCCAGAGTTAAGACAAATGTAGCATGCAAAACCGCCTTTTTCATGCTCCCTCTGCCGATAGTGTCTTAAGCTTTCTTATGCTGCAATGTATGAGACAAATTTGTTGAGTCAAGGCATACCTTTGATGGAACACTGGTGAAGATGGTGTTGTTTTTGAAATGCGACTAAACTGAGATTGAAGCGGAAACTATTTAAAAATGCCAACTTCCACATCTTCCTACTTGTTTTTACCACCTATGCTGCAAAATACGACCAAGACCACTTTGACCTCACTCACGTCCTGCCACTTACAGGTCGTTTGCGTACGCAACCCTAATTTGCACCTGGAAAAAGGCGGATACTCCTTCAAAGTGGGTGATAAGGATTTGATCACAATGGGGATGCAACTAATTACTGAGTAGTGTCACGCGCCACTTACTTGCCGTTTGGTAAAACAAGATATTAAGAAATGATTTTGCATGGGATCGAAACAAAACGTATTCCCCGAGTTATTACCAATGGACAGCAAGGACGTGGAGAATAGGTGTGCAAGTGCAGCTCCATGCGAATGGCCCATTAAGGTCATTTGTTCACAATTGCCTCCAAAACGGTGGATATTGGAGTGGACCCACTGGATAGCGGCCTGCAAATCGAATAGGGCGAAGTTGCCGCGAGTAGAGCCAGCGATACCTTCCGACAGAAACCCTACAATTGCATGCTTCGTATTGCGCTCGAATAACATTCCATTCACGAGCACAAACAACTCCTATAACTTTTCAATGTATCAGATGACGACACATCTTCGTGGATGCGGCCAAAACTTGAAGTCGTAAAGTAAGGACATATTCAGTTAACTTTTCCGGTTAATGTTATAAATCCCTAAAAGCTATCCACGTGCCTACAAGTGGGGCGAACGTTTGAATCTCTTTAAGTAGGAATGAAGGCTTCACAATGTTTACTTTCCGCTCAATTTTTAATATGGTTTCCATTCTTAAGCGTGTCTGTACCCTGCATTCATCTTAGACCGGCTACTTTGGGTTCCAGTAATAATAGGGATTGGGTTTTCCAAAGCCCATGTTTCCTTTCTAATGTATAATCAAAATGCATGACCACCCAGACCCTCATTCGCGTACGATTTTTGTTTTCCAGAGTAATTTTAAATAAGGGGGAAGGATGGCCATCATACAACTTCCACTGTCAAATGCTGTTTAGATCATGGCCCCTCTAAACATAGAGTTTGTGGAACCTACAATTGTGTATACGCATCAAGTTGCTACACTGAAATGCTGAAAAGCATTTTTACTAGGATGTGTTATTTATTTGGGCCTTCAAATGCAATCACGAAGGGCATTCGGTAAGGCTCGTCGGATCGCTATGAGAGCTGAAAGTTACTGATCGTGTGAGTGGCCTATCACAATGTTTTAAAGCACCCAAAATTATTCCAGAGACTTCTCTGTGTTTTATATTCGAGGTGCACGCATCCAAAATTCCACAATACAGTGCATAAAGAAGGACGTCTGAGAAAACAAGTTGAAAGTGTGTTGCAGAACTTACCCAAAACACCAAGCCTGTAGTTGAGTGTGACTACAATAACGCTGCCAAGGCTTGAAAAGAGGCTGAAATCATAGGCATTCCCAGATCCATGCTCGTAGGAGTCACCGTGCACAAAAATGAGCACTGGAAGCACATGCCCATTGATGTTTTCCGCGCCTAGATGTGACCCAATGCAAAACGCCCATTAAAAACTAGCTGGAATGACTTCCATTTGAACCATGTTTGATTTTCCTAAGATAATAATGTTCCTTGACCAAAGGAAGCTGCAACTACGTATATGCTCATACCAATTGCTTAAGTATTAGTGAATTGGCACCATCAAAGTCGTTTGAGATTATCTGGTGGTCTACTTGAGTGAAGGTCCTTCAAATTTTGCACGCATGACTGATGCTATTTGTTGCCTTTGACGAAAAACATTACAAGCAATGTTACCTCAGATGGTGTACTTTCGTCGGAAAAAAAGTAAGCTCACGTGGCAGTGGCTTTGAAACACTTGAAGGCATGGAATCCCTAACAAATTGCACTGCCAAGGCATGTTGACGCGTATGTCAAACTAAGCTGCTGTTTGATGTGGAATCCTGCAAGTACTGAGTCAATTGAAGAGGCAGAAGAGAGTAGGACGAAGACCACATTTCATAGCATAGGAACACTACCATCCTCTATTTTAATACAGGCGAAATTTGAATAGCATAATAGCATTTCACATTATGCATTACATTTGGCCTTTTTCTTAAGCAAAAACAAGGGATTCGTAAGGTAATAGAGGTTGTTGAAATTAAATATGTGTCAACAACAAACGATACTTCGTTTTCCTTTTAACAAAACGCTAAGTAAGTAAGCAAAATTAAGGTTTTACTTTAAGTATTTTGTGGTTAATCAGTACTACTACTGGAATTTTCGTTACTATGTTACTTTGGTCATACTCAAAATAACCGTTTATTACTTGTTTATGCTCAAACCATTTATGAAAAGTTTAGACCTCAAAACATTTTTTTCTCTTAATTCTCTTCCCAAATGATTGGCTGCAGTGGTGTTTCAAATAGCATCCCTTTTCTTCGAAATCGCTGCAACCTTCCATTAATAATAAACGAAGCTAATTTAGCTGCATCTGCTTTCTACTGGGCCATTTTATTGACGTACTCGGTCTGACGGTCTCTTTTCAACCGCATATTGACGCGAGGTCGTAAAGCAGCTAGCTGTTTCTAGGATCCTCAGTCCCAGGTACGCTCGTTTCACTGCACAAACAAACGCAGTGAAACACTACTTTATCGCTTATTTGAGGTAAATACGTATGAACAAGCTTTGTAAGATCATAAAGCCTATTGTCACTAATAAGAGTGAAATACAAAAAAATAAAGGAGGCGATCACCTACCTGCCTCAGGGACAAAGATGTTTAACGTCAGGCAGTCCTCAGGCTGAGTGGCAGGTTGAGGGTTTTGCAAGAGATGGTGGGAGGAAGCGACAGTGGTGTCAATCCTGGCTGTCCAATCATCAAAAGAATTGTCATGCTCCGACTGTGCTCTTCGTGGCTGAGGGCACTCAGGTGGGGGTCCAGTCTTTTGCAGGTGGCCACGGGCCGGCGTTTCATATATGAATGCCGCAACAGAGTGCATGAAACGCCTTTTCGCGGCATGATGATAGGACTCTCCGACATCCGCGTTCCCAGGACCTGACACTACACTATCCCCTTCACCGCCAAGAGATGCATAGCGCAGACCATATATCGTGTGCACTGGTTGCAGTTTTGGATCAGAAAAGCGTACCTCTACACCAGAAACTGTGACACGACCGTCGAGAGCAAAGCTGCGCGTCGACGGAAAACGTGTGACGGTTATTGAATGTTGATCTGAGCATGTCAAATAGATCAAGATGGCTAGAACTATCGGCGACATGAGCGTTCAAATTACACAAACAAAGAATTAATACGGTAAGTTTAGATATTCGTCGCATCCCCTTCACGTGATTGGTCAAATGAGGCTCACCTATCAGAAAATGAGCAAGCCTTCTCTCAAGCGGTAGCAACATCCCCATCGCCACTTAAGTGTTTTATTAATGAATAAAATGACTGCAACAACCGTTTTAGCTTTCATAGTTTTTCGATTCTACCCCTCACTCCCTATCCCAAAAAATTTGGCTCTTAAAGCCTCTTCAATGATTGTATCAAGCATTAAGAAGACTCGCCTGGTCTGTTCGAACTATTTTTAAAACCCATCAAAATTTATCTTTATTAATTTGCTATATAACTCATCATATTCAAATCAAGCAGACTTTGAGCCATTCAAATACCACTGCATTCACAAATTTATTGTTGGCACGGCTGGTGTGCTTTGTTTTCCATCGAGCATTTGCACTTTGAGTAAAAGTGCTCGTTTAAAATATTCCACACAATAAGCACTTGTGAACTAATTACAAAAGTTTTGTAGATTATTAAAAAGTGCAAATTTTTCACAGCAGTGAGTAACATCTAAGCCCATTCTAGAGCTGATAAACATTAACACATCCACACAGCTATCTTCTTTCCGCCATCAAGAAATGCCCACATGACAGGCTTCCATTGCAAAAGCATGGCTCAACATTAGTGGAAATGAAATTAATTGCAACTGTTAAGAATGTGATAGACTCTGCTGCTGGATCCCCAAACGGTCACGCAAAAGGGAATACTGGGGCTCCACTCTACATCACATAAAGTTTCCCACATTTTATGCTAGAACACCCTCCAAGATGGCTACGTGGACTTCATGTCAGCAAACTTACTGTCTCTTCGGCTACAAATAAGTCGTTGTAAGCACATACTGCAACATACCATGTTTTCCCCAAGAGGCATTCAAAACCGCTGCATTAACAATACGGCCGACCACTTTCGATGGAGAAAAATCAAAATCATCTAACACGGCGAGTTTGATGCGATGGCCATTAGAAGCACAACAACAGAGTTCCATTAAAATGAACACAACGTCGAAGAATGAAAACAGCAAAATATAACGTCACCTGCTTTTAATTGACATATGACGGCAAAAAGTTGTAAGGATAAAATAATTTTTATAACTATAATTTTTAGCATAAAAATGACCTATTTATGCCAAAAAAATTTTAGACTTTTTAATAGCGACTAGAGTAAACCTCCCAAAGACGCTTCACTTTTTGAATCGAGTACCATTTCGAGCTGTTGTCCCTGCCTAATGTGATCGGAACACATGGGGCGCGTTTTAGCGAACCCTCTTGCCTCCAAAGCCAGAAAAAATTCTTTACCATTCGACTCCACTTTTGGCTTGCCTGCTTTCCTCATCAGTCGAGTACGCATATGGTTGTCAACTAATGCTGCGGAGGAGTGATAGTGGCTTCGACAAATATCGCCACTGGTTGATTCCTCTGACTCCTCCTTACAAAGGAACGAACGAATCGATTGCAGCCACCAATACTGAGTCTTCAGTAAGGAATTTTATTGTGAATGTACACACACACACACACACA